TGCTACTATCTTGCACATAGGTGTATTTATCACAAAGGGAGATATTGGCATTAGCACCATTCTTGGATCTGCAATTTATAATCTCCTTGGCATCTGTGCTGCCTGTGGCTTGCTATCTAACATGGTATGTAACAAAACCATTCAACAAAATGTATTGTCTTAAAAAAATTCTAAAGATAACTGTTCGTCGTCTGGGATGGACAACAGGGCACTAATAATATGTGCAATCAAATTTATTAATCAGTAGAAAAACAGCATGTATTCAATTTAATGTTAATCCACAAATAGCTCTTGGTCAGATTTATGAAAGTTCATGTGTTAGAACACAATTTTACATTTTTCTCTCTAAGCAATATGCAAAAGATAACAATATTTAACTACAAATATATAAACAATTTTAGTATTACACTAAGGATTGTACTTGAAGTTACAATGTAATGGAAATAACATCATATTACAGGTTTCAACACTATCATGTTGGCCCCTATTCAGAGACTGTGCAGCGTACGCAATTAGTGTAGCAGCGGTTCTTGGTATAATATATGACAACCAAGTTTACTGGTAAGCTTGAAAATAATTCTTACGTAAAAATTAGAGATTTTATGAATTTCTGATGGTTCAGTAATATTTTTTTCAGAAATATTATTTCATATAATCTGCCACTTCTATACCATATTCCAACAGGTCTCTGAGTTAACCTTATCACAATTGCTGATTGTATTCTTCTCACTAGTTTGCAATTTCTTTTTAGTCACTTCACAGTCTCCTTTTTTCTCTCACTAGTCACTGGAGACCATCACTTTTCCTTCTCCCCACTGGCTGCCTATTCAGTAAGTTTCCCAACTTCTGTTGTCTATTAAAGCCACAACAGTTGACTTTTTCTTCTGCTGGGTTACTGCTCACCTTGCCTTGGTTAGAAGTGATCATGGTCACAAAAGACTGGAGAAGGATGGTAGAGGAAGTAAAAGAAGTCTTTTTAAATTCCTCCAAACTTCTGATGCTCAAAGAAACTATAGCCTTCCTCTAAGAACCAACAATGCTTAGCTTTTAATATTAAAAACTGTTTGCTTTCCCTGTAATCTCTCTGCCTAGCTGGTCCAAGAAAATGAAAAATGTGGTGACTGAGTGGACAGAGACAAACTTTTTCAACTAGTAAGTAGCAGGCACCCACTAGGTTCTTATCACTATGCTAGATATCATAAGGGATAATGAAATGCAAAACACAGCTACACAGGTTACACATTGCATAACTTCCAGAGGACACCAGAAAAATACGCAAAAAAAAAATGTAATGGTGTCCATCTGGAGAAGCACAACTTTGCAGTACAGCATAATATCTGCTATCAAGAAACTTCAAACCTAGCCAGAAGCATAATTTCTAAACTAATCATCCTGTCTTCTAGTCTGTCTCCCAAAGACACTGTGTTGATAGAGTAGAAATCCTTCTAGAATTCAGCAGTTGTCTGTAAGGGACAGTGGCTGTGAAAGTACCCAAGATAATGCTTCCTCAATTAGAGAAACAGGAGATGTAGCAGACAGAGATTCACTGGCCATAAAAGGTAAATTCAAGGTTCAAATGTGATGGCATTAGCTAACTGCCAGAGTACAGGGAAACAGTTCTTGGTTCCCAGGGTATAATTTTATATTTTAAAACATCTTGTTTTCTTGTGACTATAAGCCAAATTCAGCTACATTCAAATCATTAAAAATGATGACAAACTGAAAAATCCCAGCCAAAGCCTCCCATATTCTGAATAATATTTTACACAAAGTTCCTATATTAGAAAACTTGAACAGTTGAAATAACTTAACAGTTACTATATTATTTTATAATTATTATGTATTTTGGGGAATGTATTATGCCAATGAGCTGAGGTAGAAAATGTTCACCACTATATATTAATTTTATATTTATTTTGAAAATCTCCAATTATCATTTTCATTGCATTTTTATACCTACCATTTGGAAGGAATCCACAAGTAAAAATGAGTTTGTTGATCTTTTTTTTTTTTAAAAAAAAAAAAAATAGAAGTGTCCGGCTTTTATCAATAAACTTATAATAATGCTGTAACCAAGTTTGGAAAAATCTACAAAACAAAAAATATCTAGAAATGTTTGATTGTTCTATGGCTACTTTTGTTAGAAAATCATTCAATCAATACTGCCCAAAAGCTATCAACTCTGAAATGACTTTCACTTTTAATTTAAAAACACAAATTTCTCTTAATTTATAGGTATGAAGGAACTTTACTGCTTTTGATATATGGATTATATGTTTTGGTGCTGTGTTTTGACATTAAAATTAACCAATATATTATAAAGAAATGCAGTCCTTGCTGCACCTGTCTTGCCAAAGCTATGGAAAGAAGTGAACAACAGCTACTAATGGGATGGGAAGATGAAGGTCAACCATTCATTCGTCGGCAATCAAGAACTGATAGTGGAATATTTTATGAAGATTCTGGCTACTCTCAGCTCTCTATAAGTTTACATGGTCTTAGTCAGGTTTCTGAAGGTAATCACTAAATCTTGCCCATTATTAAGTCTATTCACAAAAGAAAAACTTTAAAATTTCATTTCAATTCAGCAAGTATGGTGTGCTTTTTATGCAAAAAAGACTGTGAAGACTCAGAAATGATAAAGACTAAGTCCCTACTTTTAAGGAATTTCCAGTATCATAGGAAATACAAAATAGCTAAAATATAAACGTTAAGTAAGTACCATAAAAAGAGAAAGAAATGAAGTGTGACTGTGGTTCACAAATGGGACAGTGTCAAAATGTGGTGAGGACAGACAGGAGATTTTCACAGAGAAGGGAGCATTTAAATTGGGCCTTGCTTGACAGGAAAGATTTTAACTATGACATGATGTTATGACCAATAAGTAACAGCTTCTGAGGTCTTTATTTTCATAAATGATGCAGAGATAAAACACATAGAGCACAGTATATGCATAGTAAGGAAGAAGAGGAAAGGTAGAAAGGAATAGGATAAGAATAATCTTAAATGCTATTCTAAGAATCTTGGAAGGTTTCTGAGGAGAGAAATTGTTAGAACTGTTATCTTAGTAATGTTACCCTAAGCGATGTTTACCAAACTAAAATATGAAGTAAGAGACAAGGAGGTCTGTAAGAGGCTGTTACAGCAGCTGATGTGTTTACTAGGTGCCTAGACCAAGTGAAAGTGGTGGGAATAAATGACAACAGATGTGAGACTACATGAAGGAAGCATCACCAAGACTATATGGGGCCAGAAAAAGACTATATGGGGCCAGAAAAAGACAACTCCTATGTTTTAATCTTGACTGAGAACATGGGAACACCACACATTAAAACTGGGAACTCAGGAACAGGGGCTGGTTTGGAAGAAAGAAGAGAAGCAGTTGAGGTTTGCCATTGTTTAAAGCAGTAGCAAAACATTTAGGTAACTATGTTCAGTAGGAAGTCAAATTCAGCTATGGTCAGAATTATAAGCTCATGGGTTACCTTTCTATAAAGTGGTTGTCCAAAACAGATTCTAATTTTAATTAAGCCTTTAGGAGGGTACTTATTCTAATGTACTACTTAAACTTTTAGAACATGACTTTTCCCCCTTTTTACAAAAATTTTAGCTTCTCCTCTTTCAGGTGTAAGAGGTACACATCTCTAAGTTAAGCTTACAATAAGAAACGCAAAAAAACCAATCCAAATTCTTTGATTATGTTGAAATTATATCCAATATTACTTAATGGCACATTGGTTGAAACTTGACCAACTTTTTATGAGTTGTTGTACTAGCATTAGTTTTGACATAATTTGATCCAATTATTACATTATTTTGTAAATGCCATACAAATTTTGAACAATTTTAAATTCTAATTTTTATCCAATATATTATCATTATCCTTCTACTAAATTAAATTGAATAAAGTAATATACTCAGTTTTCATAAATTATATTTTAGATGATATACTACCTCTTATTTTAAGGTTCTTTCTATGAACTGTGGTAAAGTATGAATTTAATAAATAACATAGTAATGAAATAGGGCAAAAAAAAAAAACTTCCAATAAGAATTAGGATATGCAACTTAATAAAAAAAATTATGCTATCATTATTTTATATTCTCTATGTATACATTATCTGGTACATAGAGCAGGCAGAGGCATCATCAATATTGTGAAGTGGAGACAACTGGAGTAGCCAAGTTAGAAGCCAGGTTAATCCCTTAAGCAAAAAGTTACTGAAAACAATCCACATGAGATGTCCAACTGACACTTCATAAACACTATCTATAATATATTTAGCGAATGGTCCAAGACATTTTGATAGCTTTAAGGCCCCAAATAAAGAAGTGCTGAGTATCACATCTTACATTGTCTGTCCTCAAGTTTCAATTAGTTTCTTTCACCAACAATATCAGTAATGAGGTACTCAAATGTTTTAAACAGCCTTTTAAAAACTGATACAGCTAATTTATTTCAATATAGCTTTCTAAATAGGCATAACTTAATTAGCCATTTGAGAAAACTCAAAAGTGTTTAATTTTTCCACAACAGATCCACCAAGTGTTTTCAACATGCCTGAAGCAGACTTAAAAAGAATTTTTTGGGTATTATCCCTTCCTATTATTACATTACTTTTTCTAACCACACCAGATTGTAGAACAAAGTTTTGGAAAAACTACTTTGTAATAACCTTTTCCATGTCTGCAATATGGATATCTGCATTTACATATATCCTGGTTTGGATGGTCACAATAACTGGTATGTATTTTAAGTACAATAGCACAACTTGAAAATTTTCATATATGAACGAATTGCATATGTTCACTCAAAGAAGTCTAGCTACACAGCAAACTTCTTTTCAGTAAGACTGAAGATTAGTACCATTTACAAAATGATTAAGTATTACTATAACAAGATCATTTGGGTTTGTGAGTTGCATATTATATATAAACTGTATTTTCCACTGTTATTCAGCCTGGGGTACAATTCAAGAGATCTTATAAATGAAATCAAATTCATAGGATGTCTTTTTATTATGTTAATAATTTAATCACATTCCATGGGATCCACAATACTCTTTATATTGAATTCCATTCCATAATGAAAAAAAAAAAAAAAAAAAAGCCAGGAGCTCTATTTTTGGGAAAACAATGGGTGCTCACTGCTTAACCGGATTATATTTTATTTGACTTTTCAACATGGCACTACAAACATACTATGAAATCAGTGAAAAGGGTATAAAAGTTTTATTCTAGGTTTCTACCACCTTCATGATTAAGACTTAACTAACTACTGCTGCTTGGCCATAATCCACTATAGTCTCTAAACAAAAAAACTATAAACAAAGACAAAAATAATCTGTAATTTCTCCTACAAAGGTTAACCCAAATTAACTTATAGTAGAGGTGAACAAACTACTGCCTGTGTGCCAAAATAACCCAGCTTGTTTTTATTAGTAAGGTTTTACATATTATCTATGATTGCTTTCACACTACATTTGCAAAGCTGAGTAACTGCAATAGAAATCATACAGCCTGCAAAGCCTAAATAATTAATATCTGGCCCCTCACAGACACAAAAATTTGTTGACCCTTGACTTTTCCCAAATTAGTGTAAGTCTTAGAATAGTATGCCAGCAAAAAGCAGATTATTTCTTCCTTTTTTAATGAGAAAAATGAAAAAGTCCAATTAGCTTGCATATTATATCTATCCAAATTCACTCAGCCAGAACACACTTGATATTAGGAAAATAAAAAGAGAGCAAAAATCATGTAATAGATCACAGAACAGCCCCCCAAGATTATAAATATTAGTGTTATTTATGCACGTATGAATTCTAGCAAAGCCAGTAATAGAAATTAACCAATTCCAATTCCAGTATCAGTATGTAAGCATGCAATAAATAAGCTACTTTCTAATTAAGTTATTTTAATTGGCATTTTAAGAAAAAGAAAAAAAGATGCTAAACCAAGTTTTCAATTACAACATTAAAAGAACAGTTACATGTGTTTTAACTTTTTTTAACTTCTCTCTGGTTCTGTTTCTGAGAATAAATGCATTTCTGATCAATGTTGACCTGACATCAAATTTAACAGAAGTATTAATAAATTGGGACCATATGTTAGACTCAAGTAGAAAACAAACAGGTTTTGTTTTCCTGAGAGATTAATGAATGTTCCCCCTCCCCACCCTGCCAAAGCCCACTAAATTAAGGTATATCACTAAAGTAGAATGTAATAAATGATATATATACATGTTAACACATTTATAGCTTAAAGATAGCTATAATTAATTTGCTTAACTCTAATTTAATAAAAATTTTTAAGAAAGAAAAACAGGAATGATCACTCTCATTAGCAAATATTCAGCACAGCCCTGATGAGATAATGGTGGACATAAACATCTTCCGTAAGAATATCAAACAGGAAAATTTCTCATTGGCAGAATTTTGGCTGTTACACACATCTTTAGATATGTCATTAAAAATCTGTGCTACCTGGGTTACCCAAATTACCAGCCTGATTCAAATATGTTGCTAGCTAAAAAACTAAGCAAGCACATATTGGCTCTGAATTCTAAATCTGCCTATTTTATTTTTGTTCAGGAAGGAAATACCCAAAATAACTGCAAAAGATGGTTAGTGACTCTTTAAGATTTGTAACCTGAAGTATCTGTTTATTACAGGGGAAACACTAGAAATTCCAGATACAGTAATGGGCCTTACTTTATTAGCAGCAGGAACAAGCATACCAGACACAATTACAAGCGTGTTGGTCGCAAGAAAAGGTAAGAACTAAGTCCCTCAAGCTGCAATGGTCATTCTACATGGCTAGAATGAGTAAAAGTAGCTTTAAAAATGTTTACTTCCGGCCAGGTGTGGTGGCTCACGCCTGTAATCCCAACACTTTGGGAGGCCGAGGCGGGTGGATCACAAGGTCAGGAGTTTGAGACCAGCCTGACCAACATGGTGAAACCCCATCTCTATTAAAAATTAAAAAATTAGCCCGGCATGGTGGCATGTGCCTGTAATCCCAGCTACTCAGGAGGCTGAGGCAAGAGAATTGTTTGAATCCAGGAGGCGGAGGTTGCAGTGAGCCAAGATCGCGCCACGGCACTCCAGCCTGGGCAACAGAGCAAGACTCAGTCTCAAAAAAAAAAAAACAGTTTACTTCCTCAGTAACATACTTTGAAGGGGAAAAAAAAAGTGACTCAAGAGGAAGAGTTTACTATTTAATAGCAGGTTAATTTCACACAATCTAATCCCCCAAATAATATTCATTTGAAATGTGCATTAAATAGTAATTGACCATGTTAAATTACAATGAAAAGCAACAAGTAAGCTAGATACCTTATTGAAAAATGGTTTAATAAATATAATTAAATAAATGTTAAGACTTTAAATACTAACCCAAGAAAAATTTAAAAATACAAATTCAGTAAGACTTTTGCTCTAACAATTTTCCAAAATGAATCAACAACAAAAAAGTATCCAGTGTTTCTTTTCTTATGAAGATTAATAAAATACAGCATTGGTAAGCACATTTTAACAATATGCTTTTCTTTTGTAGGGAAAGGAGATATGGCTATGTCTAACATCGTGGGATCCAATGTGTTTGATATGTTGTGCCTTGGTATTCCATGGTTTATTAAAACTGCATTTATAAATGGATCAGCTCCTATAGAAGTAAACAGCAGAGGACTAACTTACACAACCATCTCTCTCAACGTTTCAATTATTTTTCTTTTTTTAGCAGTTCACTTCAATGGCTGGAAACTAGACAGAAAGTTGGGAATAGTCTGCCTATTATCATACTTGGGGCTTGCTACATTATCAGTTCTATATGAACTTGGAATTATTGGAAATAATAAAATAAGGGGCTGTGGAGGTTGATATTATTAACAGTGTTATGCAGAAAAAATGAATGGCAGGGAGGGGCAGAGAGAAAAATCAATTTCTTCATTTAAATCAAATTTTTAAAATCCTGAACCTTAGAATCTAAAACTTACAGTAATTTAAAACCAACCAAAATCATATCCTAATTTTTCTGAGCCCTTTCTTTTCATGAAGAATTACATATTACAAAACAGAAGTTTTGGGGGGCAAAAAATCTGTTTTACCATACAATAAGTTGACAAAAACTGGAGAAACTAGAACAAACAAATCCAACTATGTAGTACTGAAAACAACAAGAAAATGGCTTATTTCATTAAAAACAGTATAACCATTCATTTAAACTGAATGACCAGACTTGCTGTCTTTAAAAACCCAAACTTGAGATTAACAAAAATTACAGTATATTTTTAACATTATACTGTTAAAAGCTGGTGGGAGTTTTAAAAGTTCATTTTTACAGCTTTTGTAAGCATACAATATTACTTAAAAAAAAAATGACTTTTACTAGGAGATTCAGCAAAACAGATGTAGGAATGTTCCAACCATGGCTTGAAATTATGCATTACGATCCAAGCGGACATCAATTTCTCTGCCACTGATTTTTATGCCATTCATTATTCTGCAGGCTTTTTCAGCTGATTCTGGGGAGTCAAATCTGACTGTTCCACAGCCTTTTGACTTTCCATTCTCCATTTTTATTTCTGCAAACATTACATGACCTGTAAAATAAAAGTTACAGAATTACTAGTCAGTTTAAATGAGTTCTATTTGACTTTATAGGTTTGAAATTCCTCATAGCCAATTGTGATAATTTGATTAAAAACATCATTTTTTAAAATAACAAATAATATAAGCATTATATTTGGAGTAAAATACAATTCATATCAACTAATAAATATATACATATTAGAATACACAAAATTGGAATCAGGAAAGATTTTCCTAGGATTTAATGTATTTTATTTATGTTAAATCCCTAATTACTGAGGTTAATTGTATAAGCAATAAGTCAAGCTAGCACAAAATGCCACCAACTCACCATGCCCTATGACAAACTTACACATTTAAACAAAATTATTTTTAGAATAAATGGTTGCTTGCTGCCCAGTCTCCCTAATCTCTCTCTTCCTTCCCTTTTATCCTCATTTCACTCCTTTATGCCCTGCAAACAAGTGCAACTGACCAGAAATCTAATTTCTATCAGGCTACAAAGGGCCCCACTAATTCTGCTTTGCAACCACAGTGCGAAAGCCATTTATTCAATACCACAATTTGAGCTCAAAGTCTAAGAATGGCACCAAATATGCTACAGAAATAGTCACGGGAAAAGATAGCATAGATTTAAATCAATAAAGGTAAAAACAGTGATGTCAAGGAGAATCTCAGAGAAGCTTCAGGAAAGAGGAAGAAAACCAGAAACCTGTCCTTATGTAGTTATATCATTGCTAACTCTAGAGACTGGTATCTGAAGTAAATCAATACCACTTATCAAAATACAAAGTGGCCACAAGAATTCATCACTACAACAGAACACTTTTGAGAGTAAAAGGGGAGTTATCAATAATTACACATAAGTAACAGATGTAAAGTGAGACTATCCCCAGGCAAACTGGAATACATGGTCACTCAATCCAAACAGGTCATAAATTTAGGGTGTGACTACTTACCAAAATATTTCCCTCCCCACTAGATGTACATGTCAAAACAAATCAAGTTAGAAGACTTTAAATATTATAGTTGCCAGATCACTATGGGCTAATTTTAGTCTGGCAACCAAATCAGACAGCCAGACATATTTAGCTCTATAAAGGGAGGAGGAAAAAAAGGAGAAAGGTAAAAACAAGAGGGCCTGTCAAAAAACTGCATAAGTCCTTTCCAGAAGGTAAGATCAAATTTTAATATCAATCCATAAGGAAGATTTTTTTCTGTGGAAATCTTGATATCTTACCTATAACATGATGGACTACTTTATACTTTCACTTTTTCATCCACTCTCTATTACTGCATTTCTTTTTGAAAACCAACTGGTAGTCAACTGCTCACCTACTAAACACTAATTAAATGGTCTAAGATAATACATGTTATACTGAAACAAAACCAGTATCTTGTTACACATGCCAGATAGTCTTTAAATGTGTTCTGAAAAGTTATAAAATAGGCTAATCTTCAGAGAAATCACATGATAATAGTTAAAGTAGATCCAAATAATATTCAGCCCACAACCGGAACGAAATGGGGAAAAAAAGCAAAAACAGAGCAATCACACTTTCTAATAAGCATCATAAAATGAAACTGGAAAACACATTTTAAAACAATTTAAAGATAAATGCAGCACAATTTCCAGAGTCCTCTTAATATCTTGAATGCTGGTACCTGAAAAAAAGCAAGTTTAATTAAAGAAGCTCTTAGTAAAGGACAGCACCTTACAGTTATTTTGAAAAGAACTGTGGAGGATTTTCAAGGACTTTTAAGGTTAAAGGTTCTTCCTTACCCTAATTTTTACCTAAAAATGTAGTTTTTCTTAAGTATCCCATCATAGGTTTATTAGCAATAGTAAAGTTCACCTAAGCAAGAAATCGTCTTCAAAACCTCAATGGAAAATATGTCACTATTTCTTGCATAATCTGTCTCTCAATCTTTCGGGACAGTTTCTCTTCTTTGTGTTTCTCTTAAATTGTCTCTTTCAGTTTAGAAATCAGCACTCAGACCTCCAAATTCCTGACCTCGCAATGACCTAAAAAATTTTCTAGTTGACAAGATCCCTCAGCTAAGATACTTGAACTTTCTTACAGTTCTGATGTTCAAGCTATATGGACAGTAGCCCATAAATATTTGTTTCATGGTTAGACTGCTCCCCCAAAAAGAATCCCAGCAGGACAGAACCAAAAACAGTTATAAATTTTCTAAGTTTCTTCCTGATCCTATAAAAACAGCAACTAAAATATTTTCTTTTCTAAAGATAAATAATTCAGGAGAAAAAAATTAGTTTCAAATAGCTGATTAAAATCAGACCTGCCTGACTTTTTATATGCTCTGAGAACGTCCTCAACTAAGTTAAATATCTAATAATCTTGTGCGATTCCAAGAAAACAAAAACAGGACTGCTATTTTGGCAACAGCACAGGACAGAATAGTATGCCACGAGAAATCAATATCACAGAATAATCAAACATATTGCTGTTACATATACTAGTAATAAAAAGATTCGTCCCACAGTAAAAGAAACCTTTCTGTTTTATTTAACCCAGCCTATTGACATCTTGTGGGGTATATTTTGGGATATGCTGGTAAAAAAAACACATGTAAAAATAGACCAAATTAAAGAATGTTCAATAAAATCTACTGCCTACATGAAGCTGTTAACACAACCATGGATGAAAAAAGGAAAATCAGACATTCTACCATAAGAAAACATAATAAGGATATAAGGAATAGAAAAGCAAAGTTTTCTGTTGTTTCTTTACAAACGAAAGATAGTGCCTATCAATGAATGCTCATCATATATCATTTGTACTATTACTGCATTTTTACTCTTAAGTTATTCTAAAGTCCACTCAAAATGCTTGAAGCAGCAAGTACTTTAATCAATAAAATCTACCATAAGCCTTCATTTTCCATGCAGTTAACAAGCATACTGATGTAGAAATACTACATAATGGAAATCTGTGGAACAAAGTTATATCTGTTTATATGGTTTATAGCAAGAATAACTGAAAATGGGTTTTCCTTGTGCTGAAGTTCTAAAATGTTATAGTCTTGCATCATACTGATCCAGAAGGCCAGAATGCAGCTAAAGTATACAGATGACATGGGAGCACATTTAAAAGACTATGCCCATTTGACCCCATTAGTACAAACTGAAATGATGTGGGGTCCAATACTAAATAGGTTAATTTATTTATACTGAGCCTTTTTGAAAATGCATCTCTCTGAGGAATTATACAAGGCAAGATAAAAAGAAAGATCTCTTTTGCTACAGGAAGACATCTATCTTACCAGCTAGGGTCAAAAACATTACCTTCAGGGGCTTGATGGAATTAGAAAATAGCAGTTACATTCACTTACTTCTCATCTTGTTATATTTGGAAAGATATGAAAGCAATCTTTTCTAAATTACGAAGGTTGAGAAAATGTTCTATTGAGGGTAATATAACCCATAAAATAACATTTACTCAGCCTTTGTAATTACTCCATCGAAAACAGTTAATCACTAGAGATAATTTATAAGCAGAGGGGTTGCCAGTGGTACCCTTTACTGACAGACATTGTTTATGGGCGATGCATGGAGTACTACTAGATTTTTACTAAGAAGCAAGCAAGAGAATATACTTACTCTCTTTGGGCTTACAAGAAGAAGAATAACAACAGAAGACTGCCTTTTACTGCCCAAGAGGCCATTACTGGCTTGCAGCATGTTAAACAGAAATGTCTCATACTAAGAAAAAGATTTATAAATAAGTGACATGGCAGAAAAATGGATGGTTCAGTTCATACTAGCTAGATAATTTGTATAGTTGTCAATAGCTGGACACTTAATTCTGTATTATTATAACTTTCTTTCCCATCAATGTAGTTCAAGGTTAAAAATAAGGGAGATATAGGGAATTGTGTAAATATGGTATTATCTTAATATAAAATCTAAGAGTCAGAGACTTTTACAAAAGAATTGATAAAACAAAAAATCATTAATCTTAAAATATAATTATAATCAAAAAAGGATTATAAGGATAGAGTTAAAATAGCAAAGCAAAGAATAATAATTTAACCATTATTTTATATGGCTAAAATACTGTAAAAATTTTCTATGTAGATTAGAATGCTTTTTCCATTCAAAAAATGTCTTGCAATTGCTGATGTCCTCAGGTCATCAGGCCACTCCAACCAGAAGCCCACCAAAGACTTGAAGTTTGCTGCAAGCCTTGCTCATATCTAACCTCGAAAGGAAAGCAGACTACAAAGAATAAAGAACAGTCAACTCAACATTGGTCACCTTTTCATTGTCATTTCTTTGTCCTGCTTTTCTCTTTATCTTGCTAAGTTTCATTTCTACTTTTAACATAATGTCATATCTCATTTGGAGATTTTTTTTCACTGAAACAACATCAACAGAGATTATACTTGCTGCCACTGCTTGTCATTTGATGTATTTCACTAAGACCCTATATACATTCTTTCCTCTGTAGTCTACAGGATTCATGGCCAGACACTGCTGCCAGACACTGCTTACTCATTCTGGTAGATCTTCTCACTCCTGCAAAGACCAATACCTCAATGCCACTTTACTATTTTGCTTTCTCTTAATGGTGACTATCAACCAGTTAACTTGTTTTCAACAACTTTTTCTTGAATTTTTGATTAGTGCAAAATAAAAGGATGATCAAGAAAGAGAGTCAACAGAATATCCTAGACAAATTCATGTTGTATGTTCTTTGAGGGCATCTGACTTTTTTCACCTTCAAAATTCCAGTGCCTAGCAGACTGCCAAAAATATGTTTGTGGATTTAATGAATAAATTACTGAATAAATGAACATCTACCCAGAATGCTTAACTTATAAACTTTTCATAAACTCTTACTATATGTACAGAGGCAACAAAAGGAGCTAAGATAAAAAGACAGTTCTTGCCTTCAAGAGTTTCCATGTAGGATGGAAGAAAACTTGAACAAATAACTATTAATATAAATAAAAGCTACAAAGGAGTAGACATAAAGAAATATGAGATAATATTATCTCTGTAGCGGCCACAAAGGTTATTTTGTGACAGAACATTAAACCTATTCCTTCAAGACCTCACAAATTATCTATATGCTACCTGACCTCAGAAATTATATATATGTTACCTTATGTAACTTCCTATTGTGACTACAGTCTCTGAGATTCCATGCAATAGCAGAAAAATATTAATACTAGCAAAAAATATTTTACTTTATAACACTCACATGAATTCTCCCATTATTGCAAAAGAAACAAAAAGTGAGAATTTAGTCAATTAAGATATTTTGTAACAAAAGTAAGTATGGTATATAAAAAGTTCTTTTTTAAAAGTAATAAACCACCTAATCTTCCACAGACTTATGGAACACATTAAGGTTGTATAAGTAGTATCATTATGGTTAAGAACAGTTTATAAAAGAATAAGAAGGGCAACCAAAATGTACCCATGTCCAAGGCATTCCTGGCAGTGGGTTGTATGCTACCACCTAGGTTTCCAGTGTTGGGAAGGAATACAGTGTATGTAGAATGGGTCTCACCTATTAACTCCCTTATCAATTGGACATCAGCATCTCAGTTGGTTATGCTGACAAAGCACTATATATAGTGCAGTGGCACTATACTATAAACAAGGAAATAAATATACCACTTAATGTTTCTCACGAGAAAAAAAATTTTAATGCAAACAATTAATCTTTTTAAAATGAGGTAATAAAACAAGTCCTATCTTTATTAACAGAAAAACAATAATATGATATATCCTAAACCTTGTTACCTAAACCTTGTTATTACCTAGTAGTAACAGCACTGTTCTAAGTCAAAAGATAGTGAAATAATTCATTTATTTGAAGTGGAATTAGACCTGGCCCACTATCAAGACTATCCAGGAATAGGCATCTGGACAGGCAAAGGTCTAAACACAGCGTATAAAAGTTTAAAACCAATTTTCCTCCATAATCAATATCAACATATCTGCAGTCATTTGCATACTTACCACACTGACTGAATTTCTCTTTTAGTTTCTGCCAAGTCAAGTCAAAAGGTAGCTAGAATGAAAAGAGGTATTAGTAACACATATACAAGAAAAAAAAGAATTTCAATTATCCTTAATATTTATTTGCTTACATTTCTGACAAATATCTGGTTGCCTTTGGAGCCTATTCTCTCTCTCATTCCGCTTCCCATTGGACCCGATAAAAATCCTCGATCCATATCGATGCTCCTTTCCAGTATAGCTCCTATACCTGGTCCCATTCTATCAAAGCTGGAACTCATCCGGTCCAGTCCCATCCCCATTCCTCCAGTCACACTGTTCATGCCACCCATTCCACCACCTGGATTTTCAAGAAAGGACAGGGGGATTTGGGAATTTTGTGTTTTTGTTTCAAAAACATAAGGAAAAGGAGAAGAGGAGAAAGGAGGAAAAGAAGAGGAGATGATCATTTTTGAGAAAGAAGGGGGAAAATTAATTTGTTTATATAATTAAATAATATACAAACATAAAATTATTTTCATACAGATAACATAACTTTCCAAAGAACAGAATTTGCTTCAGTATATATTTAGTTAGCTGAGAAATTCTAGCCACTGTATAAATATATTATACATATATAACTGTATAAAATTATATTCTGATCATTAAATATATAAACATATAAATCCTCTACCAATCACTGCTTCCCAATAACATGACAGTTGTTCTTATCCTTATTTTTATTTTCCAATATCAAGCATAATAATTGCTAGAGTAAAGATACACAGAGATAAATTCAAATTATTACAACTCTAGCACTCAAGCCGCTCTCACCGTACTCTCCTACAAATATTCCTTTCCTACCTTATCTTTCACCTCAGCATCTTCACCTCTGTTTCCCAGTTTTTATTCTCATGGTAATTCAATAATCATAGCAAAACATAACTTTTAATCTCAATATTATTCAGAACTTGTCAAGGGAACAAAAAATGCTATCACTCCCCGTTAGCCAGAGCTTAAGAATTTAGCTCCGAACTCATACCTACGTCATTCTTATGCACTGACTCGATTTCCTGTCCTTTTCACTTACTCCCATCTTACTCATTATCAAACCTTTTGTCTTGTACGTAATATCCCCAAACATGGAAATTCTAAAAATCAACATCACCCTCAAATTGGCTTTTTGTGAATAACCAATATAAAATCAGGGAAACAGAAGTACAGACACTGAGATAAAAGAGGAAGGTACGGAAGTTAGGACTAACAAGAAATGGCTGAGGCTAAAAGATGATGGAAGGAAGAATAAAATGAGGAGCAAGATACAATGGAAGTAGATGTCTTCAGCTGACAGGACTTCAGAATTTACTCTTAGAATAGTTTAAATAGGTTGTATGTTGTTTGTGAAATTTCATCAATTAAAGGAAGTCAATAAAGTATGGAGAGCTCACAGACATGTCCCAGTAAGCAAAAGAGGTTAAAAAAATAATAATAAATACTCCATGTATTCAGGCTTAATGTAAGACCTAAAAGGTAGTAGTGGAAATGGACAGATGGGAGATTCGACATTCCCCAGTGTTGCAACTACTCTTGATGCTATTACGGGAAAGGTTCAAGAGGAAAAGAAATAAGTACCTCTTTCAACCTTAGCCTGACTCAAGCTCAGGAGATGCCTAAGAGTGTTATATCTGCATTTACCAAAAGACATAGATGTTTACAAGCAAAATAAGCTAGTCACTAATAGCTATTATAGAAAATAAGAAAGGAAACAAAGTTGGTGCTAAAGCAAAACTTGTTCCTGACACATGATCAGAGAAATCCCCAGATTCCCTAGTTGGAAAGAAGGTTCCTGGATTGGCTGTTAACACACAGTTTAGAAATATCAAAGAAGTAAAATTCAAACAGTTAATTTAGAAATTTCAAACAATAACCAAACAGAAAGGCTTCACTCAATTATCAAGATTTCTCAAATTATAGCAAGACACATTAACATATAAGAACAAAGTATTACTATACTACAATAACTACTCTTGCAAAGTCTTTGCAAGCACTCAAATATTACTGAATAAATTCTAGTAAAATTTAAACCTACTTATTCCAGATCCTACTGGACCCATGTTAGAAGCTCCTATTCTTCCTGCAAACCCTCCAATCATTGCACTGCCTAAACAAGGATGGAAAGATAATATACTAATTAATTTAAATAATCATACTTTAAAATTCCCAAGGTACTATGTGCTCTGATTTACAATAATTGAAAAGCATAAAGTCTTCTGAAAATAGAGTTCAAATATGTAAGATGTTGAAAAAGAGAGCTAGCATATTAAAATCTTTAAAGTGTTTTCTTCAGTATTAGTTGTATAAAACATTATGATTTTCTGATTTTTCACAAAAAAAGAGAAACCAAATTTCAAAAATTATAGCCTACAAAAAGAAAAGAAGTATGCAGCCAGCCCTACCAAGTCTACCAAAGGAATCTCCAAAGCCTCGATTTATTCCAATATCACCACGTCCAAAATCTCGCTCCATGCTACTAGTCATGGCACCACGGTACAACTCTGAAAAAATTGTGCAACAAATTAACCTTTTTCAAATATATCAATGCAGGACGAAAACATTCAGGAAAGTATCTAAATTATAGAAAGACAGCATAAGTCACAAAAACAAAACAGTCTGTCATTTACCCAATTTACCTCACATGCCACACATATTATCCCCATTCCCACCAGGCCTGTCCTTATCTCCTAGTGCCTACATGCCTTCCGAAGACATTTTTAGCACCCATTCCTAAGTTATAGGGGGGAAACTTTAATAATAGGGAAAACTAAATGTGCCCACACTTCCCACTGCATACATTTACCTACCTCCCATTCGGCCAACTCCTCCAAATCCTCCCATGCTATTCATCGCTTCCAGACCACCAAACCCTATTCCTATGGAATAAAGATTAATTTTGAGATCCGATTGTCAGTGATGTAGCTGAAAGGTACACTTTGTAAATGTTAAGTCTCACCAGTAAGCTCTACATCCACCCTACCTTGTGCAGCTACTTCTTAACACATCACCTTCCTTTAAGTATGTACCAGGCTCAATTTCTGCTAGCAGCCTTTACAACATGAGCCAACAATAAACCATGACTTTTTTTTTTTCATGGAATTCTCAACACAGTTTCTAGTTTATTAAAAATGGTGATGGGTACATACAAAAAAACAAATCTTTATACATACCTCCTCCAATTCTATTCATTCCTCCAAAACCTGGACCATCCATTCCCATACCTCAAATAAAATACACAGTATGTACTTTAAGTATATTTTACTTTTATGACTAAAAGATGATACAATGCATTATAGCAAAATAGATACCACTGGTATAACCACAACGAAACACTAGAGAAGCAGTAAGGTATAGGAGGCATGGTTTAAAGTGCTATGCCATAGCAGCTGCCTAATCATGAGTCTTCAAAAAGGTCTCTTTGAACATTTATTAGACAAGAAAGCAAAATTCACTAGTAACCCCACAACATTCAGTTAGAGAATATCTAGAACTAGGTAATCATTCACTTTTTTTCCACAATAAACACAGAAATATTACTATCAATGATTTTTTTCCAGCATAGACACACAAATATCATTACAGCAGATTTAGAGATCAGGCCAGAATGTAAGGACTCTCTAAACATGGCAGTTAAAAGGAGCAGTAAAAATTTTAAAAATATAAATAGTATGATTTAGGAGAGGGTAGGTAGGTGTGAAAGTCTAAGGCTAAGGGAGGAAACTTGTTTGGATGAGAATGATTATGATAATGAGCCTCATAATTTAAAGTGTGACTACAGCATCTCGACAAAAATAGGAATCTGATAGCATTTATTAGTCCATCAATTAAACCAGTAATTCACGAAGTATGGTCCAGGGACTCTTTAGGGTTCAATAGGTCAAAACTACTTAAGTCACCAAACACCACTAAGACATTATTTGACGTTTTACCCTCACTTTCTTGAGTTTAAGGTGTCATTTTCCAAAGACTATATGATATACAATATCACAAAAAACTAAATGCAGAAACAGATATAACAGCAATATTAAGTCAAACATTAAAAAGATGTGTGGAAAGGTAAAACAATGCCACTCTCCTCACCAATTTCTTTTTTGCATTGTAAAACAGTTTATTTTCTTAAAGCTTTTGAGTTTACCATGTAATGAGTTTATCATTTTTTAATATGTAATTTTTTTAATTTCTAATTTTTCATTTATAATACAGTAAATACTGGTAATTATAACTAAATAAACAAAGCATTTTTGGGTTCTCAACAAATTTTAAGATATAAAAGGGTCCTAACATCAAAGTTTAAAAACCAGTGTCTAAAAATGAACTGAGAGTTCTTCCAGGTAAGCAGCCAACTAACTAACTGAAAAGCTACCTTCCCAACTGGATAAACAAACTTCAGTTGCCTATGATATGGTAGCATTTCAGCTACTCCATAAATACTGTACATACATGATATATTCTCCTTCTGCCTTAAAGACATTTCAAAATCCAAAGTGCTAAAAGGCTAGCTACAACACAGCTGGCCCCAAAGAAACTCTCCCGACTTCTGCCTATCTCTTTCATGTCAGCTGTGCTCGAGGTTTCATCCCTTTTTCAGAATCAAGTGACATCATAAATATCTAACTATTAATTAGAGTCCTTTAAACATTATTACAGACCACATCAATGGAGGCTTTATTAACTAGCATATGTATCATTTAAAAAGAAAAAAAAAAGTTAGAATACTCACCACCTGGACCTAAATTTCCCATTACTCCACCTATGTTCAACTGGCTGGCACTAATAGGCTGTCCACCCGGACCAAGTCCCATCCCAATGCCTCCAAGACCACCTAAAACAAAAATGAGAACAATTATTACCAAGATCCATATATGATTAACTAATTGGCAATAAACTTTTTTAAAGAGCTATATACCTGTAGTAATATCTCTACAATTTCTGCAAATTTTCAAATAAGAGCACTGGTTCTTGTTTTTATCTAGAAAGTAGCACACTGAAGCCTGACTATAAAACCATTTATTAATGAGAAGTGTTTTATGAAATAAAACATGATATACTATAAAGTACACCTTATACCCCACTTAAAGGTGCACTGAAAGGAATAATAAAATACCTAGAGGATTTTGAGTAATATCTTATCACCTTATATACGGCACACATATCTGAAAATGAGCATCTTGTCCAAATTCGTAGACCCACTTAAAATTTCATAATTACTTTTTAAATGGCTCAAATCAAACTAAAAAGTCAATAACCATGAAAGTATAACACTGAATAAGGCAAATATTACATTACCTAGTTTTCTCATTGATATAAATATTTATTTGTATTTAATGGCACCTTAAGTGTTTCCACATCTATTATCCATAAAAGAGGAAATTTTTGAGACCTTAGGTTACTTCCATAATGACATGGAGCTGATTTTAAAACTTGGGTCTTTGTTGTCAAACTGCACAACAGAGACCAAAGTCTTAAAATCAGCTACAAGGACAGATTACTTATAAAGAAAGGACGATTCAACAAATAGCTGACTTTAATAGCAACAGTGTAAACATGAAGACTGTAGAATACTTTCAAAGTGCTTAGAGAAAATAATTATCAATCTTAAACTATACAACAAGTTAAACTATCTTTGAAGACATTTAAAAACCAAAATTGAGAGAATTTATAAATAAAAGATCCTCACTTAAAAGAGTTTCTAACATTCATGCTTCAGAGGAAAAAAATCAGTGCCAGAGTTCATAAAAGCAGAGGAGTGATGACACAAGAAAATGGTAAATAACATTGTCTAATTTGCAGGACAGAAAAAAAAAATAGTACAGAACTAATAATACAGAACTAAAACGCTGAGCAATGATAGTATAATACAGTAGGAAAGTGACTGCATCGAAAGGTCAGTCTACTATTACATAAAAGAATAATTATATTAACTTCAGGCTTCATAGAAATACTAAAATATCCAGAACAATCCACGATAGGAGAAAAATAAGTATTTGTAAGACAGAAAAATAAGACACAAAATAATATAATGGAAATTAATCCAAATGAACCAATACATGTGAAGAAACTGAACTCTTCAATTTCATGGGCCAAAAAACTATCAAAGTGAGTTTTTTAAAAAGTCTATCTAAGCCCAGCAATAACACCGTTTATAAGGGGTGTGCCTAAAACAGTAAAAAAAATAGGAAAAATGTGCCAGGCAAGTACAAAACAAAATAAAGCTGCCATACTTACATTAAAATTAGACCAAAGACTCAAAGTAATTACTAGAGAAAAAAATCACCCTATAAAATTTTTGATTCACTAGGAAAATATATCAACTCTAATCTAGATGTACCTACTAAGCTAGCTTAAAAATATCTAAGTAAAAACAAGAAAAAGTAGACAAATCCACTATTCTACTGGGCAATTTTACTAGACACATAAGATAATAAAATAAACAGTGTTACAGCAGAAAAAATTATTAGTAAGGATCTAAGACAATTAAAATGATTAACAAACTTGATTTGATTAACATATACAGATCACTGCACTCACCAACTATACCCAGAATACTAAGAAAAATGTGCCATAGGGTAGGCCATCCATAAGTCCAAATTAATTCCAAAGAATCACACTCACATATAAACCATGTTCTCTGACTACATTGAAATGAAAAAGTACAAAGAAAAAAAAAAACCTCATACATTTGGAAATTGAAAACTTCTATTTTCAAATAATACATGGCTCAATAAGAAATCATAATGGTGATTTTTTTTTTTTTTTTTTTTTTTTTTTAGACAGAGTCTCCCTCTGTCACCCAGGCTGGAGTGCAGTGGCACAATCTCAGCTCACTGTAACCTCTGCCTCCCAGGTTCAAGCAATTCTCCTGCCTTAGTTTCCTGAGTAGCTGAGACTACAGGCATGCGCCACCGTGCCTGGCTACTTTTTTTTTGTATTTTTAGTGGCGACAGGGTTTTGCCATGTTGGCCAGGCTGATCTCAAACTCCTTATCTCAAGTGATCCACCCGCCTCAGCCTCCCAAAGTGCTGGGATTACAGGTGTGAGCCACCATGCCCAGCCCATAATGGTAATTTTTAAATACTCTAAAAACTGACCCATCATAAAAATGCTCCATAGCAAAACCCATGTAGTAACTTTATAGTCATAACTGCTTATATTAGAAAGGAAAAGCTACCAATTTGAAGTAAGCATTCAACTTAAGGAGTTAGGACAAAAACAAACTAAACCCCAATAAAGAGAAGGAAAAAAATAATAAGGCTAAGAGCAGAAATTAAAAATACAAAACATTCAAATTCAGTTATTTGAATACACCATTAAAACTGACAAATTTCTAACAAAATTAACCAAGAAAAAATAAAAATTGTAAACATTCAGAATTTTTAAAACAGAACCACAGATGTAGCAAAAACTTAAGAGATAATTTTATGCCAAAATATTTGAAAATGAACAAAAATAGAAAAAATCCTTAGAAAAATAGAAATTACAAAAATTGACTCAAAAAACGATAGAAAATATAAGCCATCAATAGTTAAAAACTTCCCAGAAACAACAGATGAAAGCCAGTTTTACACATAATTTCTAGCAAATATAAAGAGAACATATAATTCTGATAAAAAAGAGCAAATACTTTCCAACTTAACACACAATGACTAAAATTTAAAATAATCTAAAAAACAGAAAAATGTACAAAATGTGGTATCAGCAGTTAAAATGAAGAAACTAGAGTTACATCTATCAACATAAATGAATCTCAAAAATAATTTTAAACAAAAAAGCAAGTTACATAATACATTATGATATCACTCAAACAAAATTTTAAATCCAACAAAACAATTCCCTATGTTTATGGATGTACAAATGTGCAGTCAAATTATTAAAACCTAAATGATAAATACTCTATCCATAAGTTGTTTCCTCTAGGTAAGGCATAAGTTGAAAGATGGGCAAGGGAGATGGGGAAGCTCCATTTTACCTGTAAAATTTTATTTATTTTAAAGAAAAAAATCTACAACAAATATGGCATATGATAACTATATGAGTAATTTTACTTTTGTCTGTATATTTAAGATTTCTTATAAGAATACTTTAAAAACCAGAGAAGATGCAGTGAAATAGTAAAAACAATAGCTAATATTTACTGAGTGTTTATGCAAAACGATTCTAAGTGCTTTACATATATTAATTCACGTAATACTCATGTCAACCCCATGAAGTAGACACCATTATTATCCCCACTTTTCAAAGGAGGCACTGAGACACATAATACAATGAGTATATTACACTGTTATAGTCATTTGGAAAACAATTTGATAATACTAACCCATGAGAACTGTAAATCTACTTCAGAATATCTGTTTGAAGGAAGTACCCAAAAACATTACAAAGATTTGTGAACAAAAAGGCATGTGTTACTCTGTGGTTACTCAAAAGGAAATAAAAGTTAAAACACCTAAAATACAGAACAGCGAAACAGTTATGGAACATCTATATGTTAGACTATTATACTACCAATAAAAATATTTGAAAATAATTTTCAACATGAGAAAATGCTTGTACTCTAATGTTAAACAAAAAATAATTCAAAATTATTTTTGTTCCCAACTATGTAAAAAATATACATAGAAGGCTGGAAGAAAATACACAAAAATGTTATAATGAGGTTACCCACAGATTAGAAAGGCGAAATTAGAGAGGACTTTTTTTCCTTCAAGTGTATACATTTACCAAACATTTTAGAATGTATTGCTGATCAGTCAGGAAAAGTTACCAAAAAGAAAACAAAAATGGCACACAACAGTCTTCCTAATCAACAGCGCCAAACTATCTTCATAACTCCAAACTAATCCCAAATTGTGAGAAACTACGATGTAGGCACAAAAACAAAGTTTTGCTTAGCATATAATAAAACAAACCCAAAAAACCCTATGTTGTTTCTCATAATAGCTTTTACTTACGTGGTAATTGTGGTGTTTTACTATCATGTGAACGGTACTCTTCATGAGGAACAGACTTGTCATCCTAATTGTGAGAAAGTTTATAATATGGTTAACATATTACCAGAAAGAACTGTAATGTAGAAGAGAGCCAATAAAAGATTTGAAGAGGTTGGAAGTTGAAGTGATATACAGGAACTCACCATTTTCACATGCATAGGTCTATCAAATAAAAACTGCCCATTGAACATAGCTGTTGGTTCAGTCAAGGAAAGCCAGTTAAGATAACTATAAAATTATAACAGAACACAAACTAATTTTTAATAATCTTACAGTCCAACTATCTCTGATATTTTAATTAACATCTTTAATACTTATTGGTATTAGCCACTCAAAAACTTTACTCAAAAAAATATTCAATTCTTTGCTTTATGGTTTTATTTCATCAATAAGAGGTATTTTTAATTCAACCATTGAAAAAAGTAAACTTGTAAGGCTTCGCTTAAAGTAAATTCATTAATATACAATGGATTACACAATTGTTAAATGCATGTATACAATTAATTGCAGTAGGAAGAGAGAAAAGAAAAAACTTCATTATCAGCCCTGTACAATAGGGTTAATTCAAGTTTTAAGAGTGACTTTAATACTTAGACCTAGTAAGGGTTTTATTTGCTGGAGACTAAAGTCTAACACACATCTCTAAGCCAGGCAACCTTAAATTCAATTACCCCCGCCAAAAAAAAAAGGTGGTATTATGCTTCTTCAACCTCATAACCAATGCTGAAATGTAAATCAGGATACAAATTGCTTGAACTGCTTCAATTGCTTGCTCAAAAGTGACAGTGCCCATTCCTCTGCTCTTGCCGTCTTTGTCTTCTTTAATATCTGCCCGCTTCACAGTTCCAGCTATGCTGAACACTTCCTTTAGCTTCTTCCAACCAACTTTGAAGTCAAGCTTAACATAAAATTGTATCGTTACATACCTAATAAATCCCTCTCCCCATGTGCAAATACAAACTAATCTTTTCTAAACTCTTAAAACCATAAAGAACTATAATTCCAGTTCAACAATATATCGATAATGTTCAAATTTAAAAACATCTTCAGTTGTTTAAAATCATTTAAGCTATATCTACATTGTTCCTTATCCTTTTTTTAATTTCCAAAATCATCTCTCAAACTGCTCAAACCTGTTTTTTACATTTGAAACTTGCACATCTATTTTTACCAAGAGAAATCCAGATTTTGAAAAGTATTGTTTTCACTGACTTTCAAATGCTTAGAACAAATGACAAACCAACTATGGCATGCATATTCACAAATATCAAGGCTACAAAAAAGAAATCCATTTACCAATATAAACCAAAACACATATAATTTCAAGAACTGCTTGAATGTGTATAAATTGCACAGTTCTGTGTTTAAAAAATCCAAATAGTTGTATTTAAACTCTAACCTTGTGTGTCTGTGTGTGTGTGTGTGTGTGTGTATATATATATACGCATGTATATACGTCAACTGATTTTGAGTTTACAATAATTACTGTTTCACTTACTTTAGTTAAAAATAAAAAATAAATAAAAATAAGCAAAATGTTTTATAAACCTATAACACATTTATTTAATCAAATTATCTATCTATCTGAATGACAAGTTTTACACTAAAGCTTGAACTTACATTGGCAACAAAAATTGTGGAACCAAGTCTACCGGCCTGCAAATTACTGATGACTTCAGGAGGAATGTTTGGATTATTGAGAATGGAAGGTGGTAAATTCATCAACCCTGATCCCATATCAGGGACATGTCCTCCTGGAAATGATCCTCCTGTTCGCTGCAATGCCCTACGAGCATTTTCTCCATCAGGATCCTGTAACACACATTGAATGTTAAATTCCACTAAATACATCAGTTCTATATAATTAAAATAACGACTTAAATTCTACAGTAGCTATCCCTTCTGACTCAAATTATTGACCCTCTTGAAGAGTGAGCTTTTTTTCTCATCCAAAGAATTGAGTCCCATAAAAACCTGTGGATAGACAAAAGATTTCAGCCTCTAGAGATGCCAGTTAAATATTTTTTTCCAATCACTAAAGCCACTTAAGAACTTGAAATTAGTTTAATTTTGCTCTCACACTAGGGTACAAGTACACATACAATTAACTCAAAGAAGAGCGAAGTACTCACTGTGACTTTTCTTTCCAAAATGTAGGATTGGTGAATTCTCACTACTGGATGCCCAATGGAATGCCAAACTCAGACTAATTCAAAGCTTTTCAATAGTGGAACAGACTGTTATAAAACCCAAATACTAGGGTAGAGGACAGGATGGTCGATTGTAATCTGTAAATTTTATTCCTGAACAAAATACAATTACCCACCTTCTAAACTCTTACCTTCTTCAACAATGATTATAACCTGAGATGGAGGAGGGGAGAGATAAAGGAAGGCTAAATGTCCAAGTGAGAAATTACATTAAACATTGTTTTTTTGTTAGGTTCATTAATTTTGTAAGAGAAACACCCTACCCTTTAAACAAAACCAAACACGCACACACACATGCACTCACACAAACATAAATGTCCTTCTCACACTCACCCCAGTAGGTGCAATACTAAAAAACTAAAATGAATAAACAAAAACCACATAAACACACTGATAGACTATCATCTGCAATGCCAAATGATTATGTTAAAGGCAATCATCATCATCACTTCTCCATCTTTAGGCTAAGATGAAGTGTAAAGGCAACCACCAAATCTACTTTGCTGGCCTCAGTCTGGGAATACAGTACTAATAAAAAGGAAGTTGGGTGACTTTAGTAAATTCTCTAGGATGGATGGAGAATAAAAGGTGAAAAGGTAGATGAAATAATAAAACCATTCTGGCTTCCAACATACTTCTTCACTACGAAGGAATAAAAAGGATTACAAAAGAAAAAAAATGTATCAAAGAATACTTCAAAACATGTTAATAAATAATAAATTCTTTAGGTCCGAGGATTCAAAAAGAGGTAAAAATACATAATTTAGGATAGTGGCTACCCATGGGGAAGAAAGATAACTCAGAAGAGAAGATGTTTCCTGAACTAGTATAGTAAGCTATTTCGGTTGTCTGTGCTTGTAACATTAACAAGATGTATTGCTGTACTGATCTGTCTTTTATACACATATATATATGACAGAAATATACACACATACAATACATGCATGCATATATAAAACATATATAAAATAGAACGTATATAAAACAAACCACCTACTATATAACACGACTTCTACTCTTCTTTTCCCCTTGCTGTCAGTCTGCTGGTTACTGACTGCTATTGCTTTTGGAGGGCCTACAGTAGCAGTTTATAACTGCTACTATTCTGCATTTAATTAAATGAAACAAAAAATGTAATTCTAAAGTCTGTTAAGGAACATTGGAAATACACCTTCCTTTGACTTTCCTCAGTAGCAGTTCTAAGCATTCATTCCACCCACACCTCTATAAATCAGATATCCCAGGAAAGGGACTGCCAAAGTGACATTAATCCAAAAAAGTCAACTGAATAAATCCCTCATCATTTAGCTGGGCCAAATTTAGCCTTTTTTTTTTCTCTTAAAAAAAGTTAAAAATGGTGGCATCCTCTTTCAACTTGGATTATATAACTGCAGGGTCTCTGAAATATTGCTGAGGATCTACAGTATGCTGAAACTTAAAAGAACACAATAACATGGCTTTGATAGTTAGCATCCAACAAACTTTTTTTTCCAATAAAAGAAAAGACACTAAGAATCTGTAGTACTATTCCTTTGAAGAGAAATAGAAAACAGAAAACAGAAAATTGTCAGCTCCGTGCAAAAGTAAATGCAGTTTTTGCCATTATTTTAATTCCAAGCTTTTTTTTTAAAAAAAGTGACACAAATCACAACAGTCAAAATTTTTCTATACATTCCTGCTAATAACTTTTTAAATAATAAACCCCCAGACATAAACAGGACTAGAATAATTTGGAAGCAAACTCAAATAAAGGGATCTGGGATACATGTTATATGTTGGTAGCATGGCCTTTAATCTCAAGCTATTACCTCACACTCAGGAACAAGAGACTCTTGGACAGGAATAACAATCATTATTACTACAGCTAACATTTATTATGTAGTTAAAATATCTTGAGCACTGTGCTTAGTGCTTTGTATAATGGTAATACCACAAGTATAATAAATAGCCAACACTAAATGGTTTACATATATTAACTCTTCGAGTCCTGATAGCACTACAAGGTAGGTGCTATTATTACTCCCATCTTAGTAATACGAAAACAAAGGAGAAAGTTTAAGTAATTTACCCTGAGTTAGAGAGGTTCTCTGATGCCAGAGCTTTTTACCATGTATCTCATTTAATCCTCATAAAAAATCCTATTGGGTAAATAAAAGCACATTTCGTTTTATTGTGCTTCACTTTACTGCGCTTTGCAGATATTGCACTTGTTGTAAACTGAAAGTCTGTGACAACCCCGTATCCAGCAAGCCTATCAGCACCATTTCCCCAACATGTGCTCACTTTGTGTCTCTGTATCACATTTTGGTAATTCATGCAATATCTCAACCTTCTTCATTATTATCTGTCATGGTGATCTGTGATTAGTGATCTTTGATGTTTTAATTGTTTTGGTGCACCATCAACTATGCCTAAATAAAACAGAGAACTTAATCAATAAATGTTCTGACTGCTCCACCCACCAGCCGTTCCCCATCTCTCTCCTTCGCCTCAGGCCTCCCTATTCCGAGACACAATAATATTGAAATTAGGTCAATTAATAATCCTAACATGGCATCTAAGTGTTCAAGTAAAAGAAAGAGTTGCAAGTCTCTCACTTTAAATCAAAAGCTAGACATGATTAAGCTTAGTGAGGAAGGCATGTCAAAAGTTCAGACGGGTGAAAAGCCTGGCCTGAAGGAAACTTAAAGTGCTACTCCAGTGAACACATGAATGATGAGAAAGTGAAACAGCCTTAATGCTGTTTCAAAAACAGGTAAAAACACAAAATTTAAGATACTTGTTACTTTTGGGGAAGAAGGATAACACAACAGAAAAGATGCTTCTTGAACTATTAAGATACTTCACTTGTTTGTGCTTACAACATTTCAGTGGTCTGAAAGTTTCGGTGGTTTAACAGAAGATCAAAGCAGCCTTATCATTCCCTTAAGCCAAAGCCTAATCCAGAGTAAGGCCTTAACTCTCTTCAATTCTATGAAGGCTGAGAGAGGTGAGAAAGTTGCAGAAGAAAAGTTTGAAGCTGGTTCATGAGATTTAAGGAAAGAAGCCATCTCTATAACATAAAAGTACAAGTGAAGCAGCAAGTGCTGATGTAGAAGCTGCAGCAAGTTATCCAGAAGACCTAGCTAAGATCATTGATGAGATGGCTACATTAAACAATCGATTTTCAGTGTAGATGAAACAGTCTTCTATAGAAAGAAGATGCTATCTAGGACTTTCAGAGTTAGAAGGGAGAAGTCAGTGTTTGGCTTCAAAGCTTCAAAGGGCACACTGACTCTTCTATTAGGGGCTAACGCAACTGATAACCTTAAGTTGACTTGAAGTCAATGCTCATTTACCATTCTGAAAATCCTAGGGCCCTTAATAATTAGGCTAAATCTACTCTGTCTGTGCTCTATAAATGAAATAACAAAGCCTGGATGACAGCACATCTGTTTATAGAATAGTTGGCTGAATATTTTAAGCCCACTGTTGAGACCTCTTGCTCAAAAAAAAAAAAATCCTTTCAAAATATTACTGCTCATTGACAATGTACTTGTCACCCAAGAGTGCAAAAGAAGATATACAAGAAGACTAATATTGTTTGCAGGCCTATTAACACAATATCCATTCTGTAACCCATGAATCAAGAAATAATTTTAACTTTCAAGTCTCATTATTTAAGAAATGTAATTCATAAGGCTACTGCTGTCATAGACAGTGATTCCTCTGATAGATCTGGGCAAAGTAAACTAAAAACCTTCTGAAAAGAATGCACCATTCTAGATGTTATTAAGAATATCTGTGATTCATAAGGCCAAAATATCAATACTAACAGGAGTTTAGAATAAATGGATTCTAATCCCAATGGATGACTTTAGGGCTTCAAGACTTAAATGGTGAACATAACTGAAAGAGCAAGAAAACTAGAACTAGAAGTGGATCCTGCAGATGTGACTAAATTGCTGCAACCTCATGATAAAACCTAAACAAATTAGGAGTTGCTTCTCGTATGAGCAAAGAAAGTCATTTCTTGAGATGGAATCTACACCTGGTGAATATACTATGAACACTGTTGAAATGGCAACAAAGGATTTAGAATATTACATAAATTTAGTTGATAAAGCAGCAGCAGGTTTGAGAGGATTGACTTCAATTTTGAAGGAAGTTCTACCATGGGTAAAATGTTATCAAACAGCATAACATGCTTCAGAGAAATCTTTTATGAAAGGAAGAGTCAATTGATACAGCAAACTTCACTGTTCTTATTTTAAGAAATCATGACAGCCACCCCAAACTTTAGCAACCACCACCCTGATCAGTCAGCAGCCATTAGCACTGAGGCAACACTCTCCACCAGCAAAAAGATTACAATGAAAGCTCAAATGATCACTAGCATTTTCAGCAATAAAGCATTTTTTAATTAAGGCATGTATATTGTGCTTTTAGACATAATGCTATTGCTTTAAATAGAATATAGTATAGTATAAACGTAACTTTTATGGGTACTGCAAAACCAAAACATATATGTGACACACTTTACTGTTTTATTTGCTTTACTGCAGTAGTCTGGAACCAAACCTGCAATAGCTCCAAGGTATGTCTCTATTATCAGTAGTACTACTACAATCACTTCAGTTTAGAGAATTAAGTAGCATGTCCAGACACCCACTAGAAAGTGATAAAGCCAGGAACCAAATCATTACTGTACAATTAAATAGTATACAATTAAATGTTGACAGTACTGCTCTACAACCAATGATTAGCATCAGTATTAGTACAAAATCTTCAGGGTCCCAAAGTTACACTATTTATCTCTTTTAACAGATTTTAGCAAGTATATGTATGTAACAGGTCTGTAATCAAACTACTAAGATTAACAATACAAAATAAAGGAACCCATGAAGATGAGGGATATTCAAGCCAATCATTCTCAAGGTTAAACTGTAAATGTTTTGTTTGTATCTTCTAGTCATTTTTTGTCTACCTATTTACACTGCTACAATTTTGTACAAAGAAAAGACATGCCCATTTTAGGGGATTCCAACTTCTAGTTATAAATTTCACTAATAGAGTTATAATTTTTTCTTAAATTTTAATCTAGTAGTTTCCAAGTAACTCTGATAAAAAGTGAATATCAATTTTATTCAAATCCGTAACATATTTGCATCAAGTGACCTTTAATTATCAATTACAAGGATGTTATATTTCTCAAATTAAATAACAAAATCTAAAAATTGAAAATGTCTGTACCAAATAAACTCAGCACCTAAAGTTTATTCCCTTTGAATTTCTAGGTCCTCAAATTTATAAAAATTATGTGCTTTTATTTTTAACAACTTGGAACAAATCAAGTATATAGGATAACTGCTTAAAAGCAAATATAAAATCATGTACAAGTAAAACTATCATCAATATATAATGCTTTAATAAACACCTATGCTTTAAAAAAAGTTGTAGTCAGGCAAACATATTACCAAATTGAAAATCCAAGGAAAGTATGTCTTTATAGTCAAATGTTTAAATTCTAAATATAAGAAATCTTACCTCTTTAATATTTAGGGGTCTTCCACTAAGATCATATTTGTTCATAGTTTCTAGGGCTTTCTTTACAAATTCTTCATCTTTGAATTCAACCACACTTAACAGGGAAAAAATTTATAGGAAATGTTTACGTGCTAATTTTTTTCCAAAGTTTAATTTAATTTAAGATACTCGAAGAAAAAATTTCTTACCCACAACCCTATATCCAGGTAGATTTGTCAAAATATGCAAAAGAAAAAAAGTTTTAGATCAGTACATGAATAATCAGTTCTAACATTTCAATCATTAAGGCAATTAATAATATGGTAGAATCACTTCACCTTTTATATCTCCAGAACACAATAGGCGAGGGACCACAAATTTTCTCTAAGTTTTTAATGTATCTATTAAAAATAGTAGAATCTAATATGTAACAACCTTGGAGCACAGTTTTTACTTTTAGGTGACTTTTCATTAAGTTAAAACTAATGTCACTGCACAAATTAAATCAACAGTAATTCAACGAAATAACTAAAGGCTCCAATATACCTATCCTTCTATAGTTACAAATATTTTCAAAAGATGTATTATCTATGACATATTTTTCAATTCTATTAAAATCAAAATAGTGAATATTAATTTTATTTTTAACAAGTTCTCTATTAGATTAAAACTGGCTGCACATTTAACAGCACCCAGTCGGAAGTATGTAAAAATCACCTATAAACTAGTAATAAATTGATTTGGAGAGTTATTTTAAAAAATAATTCCCTGTGATTGCCATTCAAAGTCCCATTTGAATGTAATGACAAAGTTTTTATTCATCATGCACCCAGCTGGTTTTACTAACATAATTAAACATTGCTAAGAGTTTTCCATTGTATTCTTCAGTATATTGCATTCTTGTTGCTAAAAATCAAAATATACTATCAACCAATTCCTTCTATGTCAATGTAATCGTAAATGTCATTCATACCAATTGGTCAGAGCACTGCCTCTTATGTAGTCCTGCAGGCTACCAAATTGAGCTTTTCAGTAAAATTTCAAAAATACATTCTGAACTAACACCTTTAAGCTATAGTCCCCTCAAAAAACTCAGGAATATTATCAATTCAGTGACTTTTAAAGTATCCTTGAAGACATCAAAATACAACAAAAAAATCCTATGCTAAAATCTTATTGGCTAAGAAGAAGTATTACCTTAGAGCATTGGAAAAGTGAATGCCCTTTTTGAGTGTTTACAAAACCCATCCCTTCCAGGCAGCGAGGTTTGTATAAGTGTCAGACTTGCTGGTATAGAGCCTCAAATCTTGTATAATAAAGTAAAACAAAATGAAACTTAAGTTTCCAAAAACTGGTACAAGTATTATACAAAAAGTAAACTGCTGAGGAACTTTTAAACCTCAAGCAGATTATTGCCCACAGCACTTACCCTTGATTTTCCTTCCGCATCCTTAAAGAGCTCCACGTATGTAACCTCACCAACTACATAAGACATACAAAAGGAAGATACCAAGAAACAATACATTTAAACACCAGTATCTTGCTTTACTGCACACCTGTGCACAACTCTACAGAGAAGCACCTATTATTCACCAACAATCAAAACCAGACCAACATACCTCCTATCAATGGCTATGTAAATTTAACTAATTTTCAGAAATGTACATCATCCACATTCTCTAAAAAAAAAGCTAACAACCATATTAACCTAATTCATACTACAGATCATATTTTGGCCAGCATGATATAGTTGGTGAACAAATGCACATATACATACAAATGGTCCCTTAACCTATCATATTAAAAAACATCAACATTAGCACTTTTCAAATAACTTTGGTCAGCCTACACACAACAGCTGTTTTAAGGTGACTTTCTACCTGAATGTCTTCAATCATGTTTGCCATCAGTAAACTAAATTTACAAATCATGCTTCACAGCAAGCCACACACTTTCTAAATAAAGTCAATGAATAAAACCAATCAAATAGTTGTCACCTTACAACAGACACACCAATGCAATTTTTTAAAAAAAATTTAATAGAAGAGATCAGCCTCAAAGCCAAGTACATAGTTTGCAGGACTGTTGAAACTCAATTTTTCAAGAGATAACAAAACTAACTTTTACAAGATCAAGTATTGAAATTATTTTTCCCCAAAACCAACCATGTATATAAGATGAAGGTTTTCAGATTATTCTGAAAACAAAACTGCAACAGCAGTAATGCAATTTTAATTTAGAACTGCAAAGACAGCATCATGGCAGTCATGACAATGCAAACAAAATAAATTCCACAGCCAGATTCCAGACTCCACCAAGATAATAACAAAACAGCTTTTGGAAAAAAAATAAATAATCAGACCTTATTATTCATTCTTTAACACGCTAAATGTATTACTTAACTGATGCAATAGCCCTTTTAAAATCTATAAAAACTTCAACTAGACAAAGCAATCACTTTAACAAAATTCTTGGTGGCATGCATATGCTGGCTCGCTACTATCCCACTAAAATGGCAAAAAGAAAAATATCCATACTACCTTGTAATGAAATTGTGTCAAGTGAAAGAAGAGGAAAAGATTAATTCACATGTCAAGAAATAAAAATCAATTTTTTGAGTCTGCGTGGCTCAGAGGAATAAAAATGTTTGTGTAGTTCCCTCCCCTGTCTATATGAAGATTATCCAACAGTGGGTTATTTCAGAGATAGTTACCTTTCTCTCTCATTAGATCTTTAATAGCTTGCCATTTCATGTCATATGGGATGTTGCTAATGAAAACTCTGTTACGATTTGGACCCTTCTTTTCTCCAGTGCTCGAATTCTTGTCTTTTGAATACGGATGAAATCTATTGGCCTTCTTACTTCCTGTAGATTTTTCCTTTAAGTCAGATTTCTCTTCTTTCGCTGACTCATCATTCTCCCTTTGAATTAAAAAAAAAAAAAAATCAAACAAACAAAAACCCTCAGTTGTGCTTAAAAGAATGGAAGTCTATATTAAATAAATATTTCATATTTATCACTTCACAAAACTCTCCACTAAGCTAGACCTCAGCAAAGTAGCTGGAGAATCAGCCTGAGAGCTTTGAAATTATCCAGTGCTATTTCAAAGCAAGAGTTTGGCTTCTCATTTAACAGTCCTCATTCTTTTTTCCACATTAAATAGCTGTAAGCATCCAAACAATCACTCAGGTTTTCCCACCACACTACTTAATTAATAAATGCTATTAGACTGGAACAGAGGGAAGAGCAGATAATTTTACTTCTAAGGTATCTAAAACTGCCATCTTTGATGGAGAATTAACTTTCTGGGCATCATTAAAAACTTTTTTAAAAAATTAATTTACACAATGATACTCTGAAAAAAGTTCATCTCTTAAAGGTTAATAGTTTCTTCTCAGAACTTTCTCCTCCCTTAATTAGAAGCATAATTAAAATACAAAGTTATGTCTATAATTCCACATCTATATATGTATATACTCACATTAAGACTCTCAAACTTTCTTCTATTCCCAATTTTCATCAACATAGAAAGCTTATAAAGTATCCTAATATTTTATGTTACATTTTAACCTATAAACTAGAATACGGTACTTCATCAAATTACGCAGTTTCATTAATATTACCTACAATGGGTAATGTAGGACAGGAGCTGTACCTAAAAGCAACATAAGCCAAAATTTTATAAACCTGATTTTTTTTTTTTTCTTGAGACAGAGTTTCGCTCTGTCGCCCAGGGGTGGAGAGCAGTGGCGCGATCTTGGCTCACTGCAGCCTCTGCCTCCCAAGTTCAAGCAATTCTCTGCCTCAGCCTCCTGAGCAGCTGGGATTATAGGTGCCCACCACCACACCCAGCTAATTTTTTGTATTTTTAGTAGACACAGAGTTTCACCATCTTGGCCAGGCTGATCTTGATCTCGTGACCTCATGATCCACCGGCTTCGCCTCCCAAAGTGCTGGGATTACAGGCGTGAGCCACTGCGCCCAGCCAAACCTGATTTTTAATGAGGCCTTAACTAGAAAAAAAAGTAATTTATAACACTGTAATCACAGTGCAACTCTATGATGTCATATGCCAACCATCCAAAAGATTCAGGCATACACTTAAACCCTATAGATAAAAATTTGGATTTATATTTTAAAATGCAATTTACTTTTAAAAACAAGTCTTTTTTACAGAACAAACAATAGGGTTTTTTTGTTGTTGTTTTTTGTTGTTGTTTTTTGAGACAGAGTCTCATTCTGTCACCCCGGCTGGAGTACAGTGGCAAGATCTCGGCTCACTGCAATCTCCGCCTCCTGGGTTCAAGGAATTCTCCTTCCTCAGCCTCCCAAGTAACTGGAATTACAGGTGTCTGCAAGCACACCCAGGTAATTTTTACATTTTTAGTAGAGACGGGGTTTCAACATGTTGGAAAGGCTGGTCTCAAACTTCTGACCTCAGGTGATCCGCCCACCTCAGTCTCCCAAAGTGATGAGATTACAGGTGTGAGCCACTGTGCCTGGCCAATAGATTTCTTATTTAAATAACTAAGTCAATAATCTAGTCAATTTAAAACTATTTTAATAACAAAACTTCAATTTTAAAGCATTTTTTCACAAACATTACTAATAATATCACTGCGGATAACACCTAGGAATCTAAATTTTTTTAAAGCTTTCTGGATTATTCTGACAACAAATCGTTTCATAAGCCAGGCTCTAAAGTATCTTCCAAGCCCAGCAATTCTGGTGATCCATACATTGCAATGCTCCTCACATACCTCTAACCGCAGTCATTTGTTACATAATATACGGAGCTTCTTAAACACTACTCTTCTTTGTAGGTAACACAGCCATAAATATAGTATGCAAACCCTATAAGAACAAAAACTATCTGCTTTGGTATCACCAGCACCTCGCACAGTGACTGCATATAACACTGTGCTATAATTTTTGAATGAATTAACAGTCAATTAAGAATCCATACTCATCTGAGCACAGATGTTGCCAGAAAAACTGCCAGAATAAAGACAGACATTTGGACCAAACTTGCTTTGCCATTTTTTTTTTAAGACCTTGAAAGGGACATCTTCACTATCAAACATATTCTTTCATCAGAAATGGCATGGCCTAGGGGGGAGTCTTCTCAACTGCCTAAATCTAGAAAGTACCTACCTGTCTGAACAGAGTGACACTTTTGAAAATGGCAGCAAGCAGCCAAAAGGCACAAAGGCCTTTTCTCTGGTTTCTGGGTACCACAGATAGAAGAACAAACCTTTCTTTTCAATTCCCCAAAGGGCCTGTTTACTTAACAGGCTTAGATGAATTCAATGAATGTTTGTAAAGTAACTGAGACTCTATTCAGTAAACAGATATCTATATAGTCTCTAGATTAATACCCCTTCCCCTGCCTATTTTCTTCCTGGATTAAACCAATTGTGAAAATTACACAAAGTTCTGAAGTACTTACAATGTTCTATTCTTGACTTGGGTGGGGTTACATAGATTAAATATTTGCTTACAACAATCTGAAAATTCCATTAAAAGCAGTAACATTATACATAATATCTTCTTTTAAAAATTTACTCAAAGATGATCAAAGAAAGTAATTTCTTCATTTTCCCAAATAAGAAGCATCTTAAAAATACTGCTAAACTGCTCGTCTACGATGTATGAACTAAAATTTACCTTAAGTTTCTTCCCAGTGTATAACAAAAAAAGAAAAAAAAAAATCTATAAAAGGCATAACAGTTTAGAGGCTACAGGAATGATCTATTAAGAAACTGAGCCATAATTATATAATTTCTGAACTATTTCCAAGTCATAAATACTTTGGAAGAGAAAGTAAAAATATATGTGAAAACTATTAAGGAAATGATGCTACGTAATTCCAAAATATTGGTACTACATCCAGAATTCCATGTACTAAATTCCCAAACTGTTCATTTAGACAACCACTCCCACAATGTACTTAAAATAAAAACTCTAAAATAGCCATAAAAATGTTATCTATTCTTAAAATTGAACTATGCGTATCTAAATTATAACATAAATTTCTGGAAAAAAATCAACCTCCAACATCAAAAGAAGAAACATAGTTTTAATGTACGATTTTAAAAGTATACTGGTATAGTATCAGATCCAGTACTAATCCCAGTTCCACAGGAAAACTACCAGAGGGCGGTTCAGAGCAATAAATGCCTACACTAAGAAAAACGACCAACCTCCAGGCCAGGTGTGGTGGCTCACACCTATAATCCCACCACTTTGGGAGGCCAAGGCAGGTGGATCACTTAAGGTCAGGAGTTCGAGATGAGCCTGGCCAACATGGTGAAACTCCATCTCTACTAAAAACACAAACATTAGCCAGGGATAGTGATGCATGCCTACAATCCCAGCTGCTCAGGACGCTGAGGCAGGAGAATCACCTGAACCCAGGAGGCAGAGGCTGCAGTGAGCCGAGGTTGCACCATTGCACTTCAGCCTTTGAGACAGAGCAAGACTCCATCTCAAAAAAAAAAAAAGAATAAAGATCTCCAACAACCTAACTTCACACCTCAAGGAACTAGAAAAAAGAACTAAGTCCAAAGTTAGTAGAAAGAAGAAAATAACGAAAATCAGGGCAAAAATAAATGAAATATACTAGAAAAACAACAGAAAAGGTCAATAAAACTAAAAGTTGGTTTTTGAAAGATAAGCAAAACTGACAAAGATTAAGCTAGATTAAGGAGGGGGAAACAATCAGAAATCAAAGAGGGAAAATAGAAAAATACATAAAGAAATCAAAGAGGAGACTTTATAACAGATACCACAGAAATACAGAGAATTATAAGAAACTACTATTAACAATTATATACCAACAAATTGGATAACTTAAAAGAAATTAATAAATTCCTGGAAATATACAACTCACCAAGGCTGAATCACGAAAAATTAGAAAATCTGAACTGTCCAATAACAAGGGAGATAGGAGTCAGTAATCAAAAATCTCCCAGGAAAGAAAAGCCCAGGACCTGACAGCTTCACTGGTAAATTCTATCAAACATTTAAGAACTAATACCAATCCCTCTCAAACTCTTCCAAAAAACCAAATATAAGGAAACTCTTTCAAATCATTTTATAAGGCCAGATTACCCTGATAACAAAGCCAGACAAGGATCCTACAAGAAAAGAAAATTACGGGCAATATCCCTGATGAACACAGATGTAAACATTCTCAACAAAATACTAGCAAACTAAATTCAACAGCACATTAAAAGGATTATACACCATAATCAAATAGTACCTATCCCAGGGATGCAAGGATGACATACATAAATCAGTAAATGTTATACACCATATTAACAGAATGAAGGATTTTTTAAAAATCAAAGATCATCTCAATAGATCCAGGAAAAGCATTTGACAAAACTCAATATCCTTTCAAGATAAACACTCTCAACAAATTTAGTATAGAAGGAATGTTCCTCAACACAATAAAGATCATATATGACAACCCCATAGCTAACGTCATACTCAACAGTGAAAATTTGAAGGTTTTACTTCTAAGAGCAGGAAAAAGAGAAGATGCCTATGCTCACCACTTCTATTCAACATTGTACTGAAGGTCACAGCCAGAGCAATAGGCAAATAAAAGACATAAAAGACAACCAAATTGGAGAGAAAGAAGTAAAATCATCTCTGTTTGTAGAAGATGTGATCTTACATAGAAAATTATTCAGAGAAAAATTTAAAGACACCACCAAAAAAACTATTAGAACAAATTCAGTAAAGTTATAGGATACAAAGTCAACATTCAAAAATCCATTGCATATATACATACTACTAATAATAAACTATCCAAAAAATTAATTAAGAACACAATCTCATTTAAAATAGCACCAGAAAGAATAAAATACCTAGAAATAAATTTAACCAAGAAAGCTAAAGAGCTATACACTGAAAAACTATCAATGATAAAATTGAAAATAATACAAATGAAAGATACTCCATGTTCATAGATGAGAGGAATTAATATTGTCAAAATGTCCTTCCTACCCAAAATGACCTATAAATTCAATGTGATCTCTATCAAAATTCTAACAGCATTTTTCACAGAAACAGATATATTCCTGAAATCCGTATGAACCATAAAAGATCTCAAATGGCTAAAGCAATCTTGAACAAGAAGAAAAAGATAAAAACATCACACTACCTGATTCAAGTTATATTACAAATCTACAGTAATCAAAACAATATGGTACTGGCACAAAAACAAGACACAGAGACCAATGGAACATAACAGAACACTCAAAAATGCATCCCCAAGGATATGGTAAACTAATCTTTGACAAAGGCACCAAAAATATACAATGGTGAAAGGACAGTCTCTTCAAAAAATGGTATTGGGAGAACTAGACATTCACATACAAAACGAAATGAAAATGGATTAAAAATTTAAACATAACACCTAAAACCCTGTAACTCCCAGAAGAAAACACAAGAGAAAAGCTCCATGACCTTGGTCTTGGCAATGATTTTTTTTTTTTTTTTTTTTGATATGACACCAAAAGCACAGACAACACAAACAAAAGTAACAATTGGGACTACATCAAAGTAAAAAGTTATTGCACAGCAAAGGAAACAATCAACGAAATAAAAAGGCAACCTAAGAAACGAGAGGAAACATTTGCAAACCATATATCCAATAAGGGATTAATATCGAAAATGTATAAGGAACTCATACAACTCAATAGCAACCCAATTAAAAAATGAGAAATGGATCCGAATAGATATTTTTCCAAAGACGACACACCAATGGCCAAAAGATACATGAAAAAGTGCTCAATATCACTAATCATCAGAGAAATACAACTCAAAACCACAATGCAATATCACTTCATCCCTGTTAGAATGACTTATCAAAAAGTCAAAAGATAGCAAGTGTTGCTGAGGATGTATAGAAAGAACGCTTAGATACTGCTGGTGGGAATGCATATTGGTACAGCCATTATGGAAAACATCATCAAGGGTCCCCAAAAAATTAAAAACAGAACTACCAAATGATTCATCAATGCTATTTCTGGGTATACATCCAAGGAAAATGAAATCACTATCTCAAAGAGATATCTGCACTCCCATGTTCACTGCATCATCCACAATACCCAAGATATGGAAATGACTTACGTGTCCAATGACAGATAAACGGTTAAAGGAAACATGATATATATTATATTTTGTGTTTACACAACACATCCACACTGGAATATTATTATTTAGCCTTACAAAAAGAACAAAATCTTGCCATTTGCAACAACAGAGATAAACCTAGAGGACATTATGCTATGTGAAAAAGACCCAGAAAGACAAATACTGCATGATCTCACTTACACACAGACTCTAAAAAAAGTCAAACTCAGAAGCAGCGTGTAGAAGGGTGTTTACCAGAGGTGGAGGGCAGCAGGGGATGGGGAAATGTTCTAAGGGCACAAACTTTCAGTTATAAGATGCGTAAGTTCTGTAGATCTAAGGCACAGTATAGTGACTATATTTAACATATTTACTGTATACTTGAAATTTGCTTAAAGAGTAGATCTTAAGTATTTTCAACACCAAAAAATATGGTAATTATGTGAGGTAACAGATATGTTAATTAGCTTGATTGTGGTACTCATTTCACAATTTATTTGTACAACAAAACATCACATTGTACACTTCAAAATATATAATTTTTGTCAATTTACCTCAGTAAAGCTTGGGAGAACAGTTCTAGTCTTTACTCCTAATAAAAATCACTCAACTAAAGAACACATTACTTTGCTCCAATGCTTAAAATTTTATAGTACCCTAATATAACTCTCAATCTCTACCTACTCCAAAGTTACACTTAATTACACCTGAATAATAAAGTTATAATAATACTGCTCTTTTCCCACCTATTCACTTTTAAGAAAAGGGGAGCCAGTATACCATTTGGCATTAAATAAAGAAGACTATAGTTGGAAAACGGATCTTTTCTAAAGGTGTGAACATGTAAACTAAATTCCCTGTATATGAGTTTCATAAGCATAAAAGTTCACTTCTGCATTTCTTCCACAAATATTTACTAGGCCTTAAGAATACAAAGAAGACTAAGACATAGTGGTCTCCCACACTCAAAAACTATGGATTAACCTCAGCAAATATTATTTCAATCCTGATGACAAGCAGTACTCTGTTCGATTCCAACCAATATATAATTTCGGGCAATATCATGATAATTTTTATAATCAACAATGAATTATTTTTATTAAAAGCATATGGTAATCAACTCAATGATTATATTCCAACTCAATGATTATATATTCCAACTATAGTCTTCTTTATTTAATGCCAAGGTTTATGTATTGGGGTTGTCATCCACTCCTACTAGTTCACGAAGTCAAATAAAAAGGTCTAGGTCGCTACTCAGTTTGAATGACTCATGCTGGATCATCACCTATGTTCTTACGGAGTAGACAGTAAGTGAAATCCCTGAGAGTAAAACTGAACTCGATTCAACTTCTGGGAAAAAGAGAAAGGGATAGAGGTGAATTATAAGCAATATGAAAATAATCTATATTTACTAGTAATATTTCTTCACTTCTTCACCTTATATTTTTCTCTTCCTAAGTGAGAAAAGGATTCTTTCTCCACCTTTCTCCTCTCTCTTTTTCCTGTCTTGCTAAATCATGATGAGACTTTAGAAGGGATTAGAGAATCTGATGGAGGTTTAGATACCAAACTTCGCTATATCAACACTAATCATACCCAAGTATAGGAGGGCTTCTCTCTGTAATTCAAGGCTGCACTTTTTGTTCAGGAGAAAAGGTGGCATGTATACTCGTGTTTAGATATGAATAGCACATATTTTTCAGTTTATCATTCCGCTGGTTTTAATTTCTATTTTTAATGCCAAATTCTCGAAAGCCCACATTTTGGCAAGCATGGTAGAAAGCGCTTCATTCACTTTCTAGTTCCTCAGTTACTGAGGTGCACCACTCTTCATCCAGTAACAAACTCCACTAAGTTCCAATCTCTTACACCTGCACCTCTATTCTCCTAGAAGATGCTGCCGCTCCTATTCAAACTCATTTGAGAGCAAGAGTGTCAAAGAGCTGGGGAGAGCTACCCTCATCTTATCTGCCACCAACTTTTACACAGACTGGTCCAGGTCTTACCATACCATTTCAAACATTCTTATACAAAGGTCAGACAGACCTTTCCCTTGCCTATTTTACTGTGAGCATATGTCTATTGCCTTCTGCTCTGAGGCATAACAGAGAAGGAAAAGGATGTTTTCACTAAATTATTAACATACTTTCAACTTCAGGTTTAAGGAGGTAGGCATATGAAAGTAAGCATTTAACTTCATATCCTCCCACAAGACAAGAACAAAGGGGAGCATAACATTTCCCTAGAACCAGAAATTATTATGGATTGGGGTCAACTAAATTATTTATAGGCACTGGTGACAGCTGCGACCTTAAAAGTTTTCCTTCATTTAGGGAAAAAAAAAAAATCTTAACCATTTATTATACCAAACTTAAGATAATCATACACTGAGTTAAAATATATATATATACTCTCCACAGCTGACGCACACTACCCAGTGGGAAGGGAAGCCACGCACATCGCACATTTCCCTTTTGAAAGTACGTCTAGCCAATTCAAGAGTAACACAATACATACAGTCTAACAGCACATTATTAAACTTCCTCTCGGTATAAATCAGTTTAAAAATGAACACACACTTTAGAAAACAACAAAACACTAAACTTGTGAAGCTCAGAAAGAAGCCAGAGATATTCCTTTTAAATACGTTCTTGGTGGTTAGGAGGAAATGTCCGATGATGTCATCCCTAGATACTCCCTAGTGATGAACACTAACTACTGGTCCTTAAAGGGGGACCATTTTCCTGCAAACCGTGGCGGTCGCTGAGCTTTGCTCAAAGGTTCTTTAACCAAAGTCAGGGAAGAGGGGAGTCCGCTGTCTCGGGCTAGAAATCAGGGAGGAGCTCTGGTCCCCGGGCCCCCAGCCTCGGCTCCCGGGACCGCAGGCGGCCAGGCCTGGGGCGGGCGGGGAAGGGCCTGGGAGCGGCCCAGCTGCACCTGCTCCTCAGGCAGCCGATGGCCCGGGGGCGGGCCGGGGCCTGGGGGCGGTTATCCCCCATCAAGACCCAGCCTGGTCTCTGGCCCCCCGGCCGACTCCCCGCCCCCCACCTCGCCGCGGTTCCCGGAGGAAAAGACAATACATTTTAACGCCATTGGAGCTGCTGCTGTGCTGCGGCTGCTGCTTCTCCGCCTCCGGGGGGTGCGGCTCTCGCCGCTGCTCGCCCGGCGGCTCCGCGGGCTGCAGGTGCGGGCTGTCGCCACCAGTGGCCCCGGGCACCTCGGCCTTGTTGGCGTCCGCCATCCTGCCGCCGCTGCCTCCGCCTCGGCCGCCTGAGCTGAGGGGCTCCGAGCGCGACAATGGCGGCTGCCGGGGAAGCGGTAACGGATCCCGATTTGAAAAGGCCCCGAGCGCTCAGTAACCCGGATCTCGCGAGAACCGGTCGAGCCTGGGCGACTGGGAGATGGTGTGTGCCGGGTGCGGGGGGTGGGAGTGCGGGGGGGAGGGGAGCCATGGGAGCGGGGGTCAGGGCCGCTGTTGCTGCAGTCAACCCTACACCTGCCTGGGAGGGCTGCACCAGTCCTGAAAGCCCCCGGTGGTGGTGCCATGTCTGCCCACCAGCCCGCCTGTCGCTTGGCACCAGTGGAGTCTTCACTTGCGAAGCGGGATTAGACACCAAAGCCCTAACACCCAGACTGTTCAATTCATTCCAGGTAGGGACAGTTAAAGAACACACCACTATGCATCTTTACAGACTTCTTGCAAGTCCTCAGACTCCCTTTAGAAATCCATTGAATGAAGCAAATATAAGTCTCTTGCCATTTCAATGCCTAGGCACCCTTCGGACATTCCATAAAGAGTTATTGATGACTGATTGCGATTCACCAAAATGAATGACTTTGAATTTCTTTGAGAAGTATTTGTTCTTAGGGGTGAGGATTTCCCAGGAACTCAGCTATCAGCTTAGTAAGAGAAGACTGCAGTTTTTCTCTGGACATCAATTAATGTGGGGAATCTATAATTATAAAATATCGTCTACTAGATGGGCTAATAACGGATATTTGAGGTTTTGATTGTTTATTGTATACTGATGGAAATTCTATGTGAAATAGTTCTACACTCTCAAATTTAATTGCCATATGGAGTTTTAAAATATAGTCGTAGATTTTTCCCCCTAAGTATGAAAAGGAAACCCGTTAAATTTAATCAATTCCTAACTCTTGAGAACTATAATATTTCACATTGACATAGCCTTTTTCAGCTGAAAAGTTTAAAAGCCTTCCCAAATGGTTTTTTTTCCCCATAAAGAAGCAAACATGTACAGTTTACTTACTTTGCAGAATATCATACACACATCGGTGGTAAAGTTATAGTTAGAAAGTAATACTCAAATAACATAATTTCATCTTCGGCTTTTCAATGTGTAGTTTCCTACCCTCTACCGAAAAATACCAAGTTCAGCTACTTCATCTCTCACACATACACACACACACACACACACACACAATCAGAACATTTTAATGATGAGAATGCTATTGTAGTTGCTGTATAAATTGTCATTCAACTCTGAGACATAAGATTTATAATCGCAGAAAGGGCATTCAATTGTGATAGACAAAATATGGGTTAAAACCCCAGCTCTGCCTCTTTTTGCCCATAACTCCCTGGGCAAGTCACCTCATTTCTCAGTCTCTCTACAATAAATAAGGATAGCAATACCGACCTTATAGGATTGAGGTGAGGATTAAGAGAAAGCACTTTATGTAGGAAAAAGTGCTATATGAACATAATGTAATATCACAATTCTCTATCTCCCTAAGCTTAGCAGGGTTTTAGTCAAAGACAAGCCAAGTGATTTTTCCCACAGCACTAAATTATAAGTACTTTCAAAATAGTCATCATTCTGTTATTCTTTTGCTATAGTTGAACTTGGTGATGAAAATTGAACCCCACCATCACTAGTACTATATATTCTTGCAAAAATCCTTTAGTCAACTCAATGCAAAGTTTTTTTAAGAGGCCTTTATGCTTCAAACAGAGTAGTAGGTACATGAGGAATACAAAAATGAGTACAGCCCTGTTGGGAGAGGACTAATATAAAAAGTACTATTTGAGTGCTATAATACAAATAAAAGCAAAGTATCATTAAAACGTTATTTACAAAAACAGGAGACTGGCCCACATGCCTTAGTTTGCCAATGAAAATATTCCATTAAAATATTTATCTTGATTACTGAGTTTTAAATTTTGTACCCAAGACAAACGCCTCACCCGCTGTAGCTTAGCCCTAGTCCTGATAAAGAGCAGAGGTTAATTCCTACTGAGGGAATTGTAATTGGTGAGGGCCTTATAAAAGAGCTGGATCTTAAAAGACAAGGAATTAAGGCAACTTCTGAAGGGAGGAGAATGATTAATCTTTACCATTCCATCTGACTGCTCGATAGATTGATCTTTCCTTCCTTTCTTGCTGTTAATTGCAAAAGATAAAGAAAAAAACTATTAATATTCTGTTGCTGAATCCCATTTCTGTATTTTCCTGTCTTCCTCTCTACTATTTTGTTTTCTTTTTTTGTTTTGTTTTGTTTTTTTTGAGACGGAGTCTCGCTCTGTCGCCCAGGCTGGAGTGTAGTGGCGCTGTCTCGGCTCACTGCAAGCTCCGCCTCCCTAGTTCACGCCATTCTCCTGCCTCACCCTCCCGAGTAGCTGGGACTACAGGCACCTGCCATCATGCCCGACTAATTTTTTGTATTTTTAGTAGAGATGAGGTTTCACCGTGTTAGCAAGGATGGTCTTGATATCCTGAACTTGTGATTTGCCTGCCTCGACCTCCCAAAGTGCTGGGATTACAGGAGTGAGCCACAGCGCCTGGCCTTGGTTTTATTTTTTATTTATTTATTTATCTATTTTTTAGTGCATGTAGGTACCTTGAAAAATTCTTAAGTAATGCTCAAATTCTTATTTTCACATGATTCACATTGCAAAAGCATTATCCTGTGCAATTGCACAAAATATATTACTAGTACTTCAAATAATCACTTAGTTTTCTTTCTTACAAATTAGAATGCATGTTTATGTGTGTGTACGTGGTGGGGGTAGGGGAAAGCTATTACACATATCTAGACATTTAATCCTAGAAATCACAAAATATTTTCAATTAATGCCTTAATATATGTATCACTTAGGAATTGTGTTCATCTGCTAGTAACAATAACTAAAAATAATAGTGTCTTAAGCACGATATACATTTTTACTCTCTTAAGTAAAATAAATGCAGAAGGAGCATCCCAGAGGATATATAGTAGCTTCACAGTCATCATGGAGTCAGGTTCCTGCTACCTTAATCTTTCACCATCCTAGTGTAAGGCTTCCATTCTTAAGGTTGCCCTATGACCCAAGATGGCTGCTGGAGATCAAGGAAACTTGTCTGCATTGTAGGTCAGAAGGAGTCTGGAAAAGAAGGGCCTATCCAGAAGTCTCACACAACACTTCCACTTATAGGCGAGAACTTAGTCACATGACACACTCAGCTGTGGAGAAGGTTGGCAAGTAATTTGGGGGCTGGGCTTACTGCCCAGGGTTCTGTTACCAATGAAGAAGAGAATGGAGTGGCAACTAGGGTGTCATCATTCTTCTTTTTTTAAAATTTATTTTGTCTTTAAGAATTAAAAGGCAAAGACCAACAATATGAAGTAAAACAAAAAGTATAGTATAATTTTTAAGTCAATTTGCTTCACTATATAAATTAAATTGCTGGATTTGAAGGCGTGAAGTTTCTAAACTTTACAAAGTGAAAAGTTATTTCTTTAAAGCTTAAAAAGAAATTCATAACTTTTAAAAATACTGTGGGTTATATCTGAAATCTACATATGTATTTCCCTTTTTATAAAAAGTTCATCCTGTGATGAAAATGTGGACATTGGTTACTATCGAATACAAAGTAAAGTTTAATCTTATTCTGACAATTAACTACTTACCATTCTCTTTCTCTTTTCCTCCTCCTTTCTCTCTCTCTCCCTCCCTATCTCTCTGTCACGCCCCATACACCCTCATTACACCACAGCTCTGCTTACTTTAGGAGTCCATTTTTTTTTTAGCATTTAGCATTCCAAAAATACATCCTATAGAAAGGTCTCTACCAGCTAGCTAAGTGAAGTTTAGAATTAAGACAAATATCTGAATAATCCAGGCAGAAACTCCACTTTTACCTCAATTATTCAAATAATTCAGATAATATCAAGGGTTTTGGTAGACTTCCTTAGATAATTGTTTTATTTTTCACTTTACAATCCTAGGGTAATTGTCTAATGACAGAATTACTTTTGATTTTTGTAAGCAATATTGGGGCATATTTTTTCTTTGAAGACTAAAGACCTACGTAATTCCCAGATCTTTGAGTCTCAATTTTTAACCATTTTCTAATTTCTTAACTTAAATCACCCTGAGTTTTCCTCAATCTCACTCCAGTAACTCTATCAAAAGATAGATCAGAAGAGCAAATTCTCAGGAGCTCTGCCCTACATTCCTTCCTATAGGCATAGCCACTCCCTCCTGTTTAATGATGCCATGAATTGAGCTTACTCTATCCAAAGCCATGGATATTATATGGTAATGTTTTTAAATATCCTCAGTTTAGTATCTTAATTCAATTTTTTTTAAGATGGAGTCTCGGTCTGTTGCCCAGGCTGGAGTGCAGTGGCACGATCTCAGCTCACTGCAACCTCCGCCTCCCGGGTTCAAGTGATTCTCCTCCCTCAGCCTCCTGAGTAGCTGGGATGACAGGTGCACACCACAGCACCCGGCTAGTTTTTATATTTTTAGTAGAGACAGGGTTTCACCATGTTGGCCAGGCTGGTCTTGAACTCCTGACTTCAGGTGATCCACCCACCTTGGCCTCCCAAAGTTCTGGGATTACAGTCATAAGCCACCACATGCAGCCCTAACTCGGTATTAATGAAATGATTGTTTCATATCAGAAATTGTCTTCAATTTAAATAATTGCCCTTTTTAGGCACATCATTCTTAATTTTCAATTACAACATTTGGAAGAGAAAATCAAATTCTTAGAGTGATGAATTATAAGGTTCAGTCCACATGCTGTCTTGCATATTTGAAGATAATCCTGTAAATGATGATGACAGAGATAACTGACATAATCCATCTTCCTCTTCTTATTTGGTGATAGAAAATTTTTATTTATGGTAGCTGTGAATAGTACTGAAAGCCCACATTTCCTAGCCTCACTTGCAGCTACATGCACCCATGTGACTATGTTCTGGCCAATAAGATATAAACAGAAATGTTGTAAGGACCATACAGAAGTTTCCTTAGAAGAAACTGACTTAACCGGAAGAATGGCCCTTTTGTCCTCTATTGCCTCTTCCTGCTGCTAACTTGAAACAGAGCAATGATGTCTGTAAACAACAACAACCCTCTTAGACCACTGCTTAGCTAACTGCTAAGAACGGTGGAACAGATATGTGAAATTCAGATCTCTGATGACCATTAAGCCACAATAACAACCCTGACATTCCTACCCCTAGACTCATTTTCAAGAGGAAGAAATACATTTCTATCCTGATCAATT